TAAGCCATTTTGGCGAGGACATATTTTGCTGTGCTCAACTGTGTTCTGATTTGTCAAAGTGAATTTGACATGTAAATGTTTAACCAGTTACATTTTTTTCACTCTTTCCAATTCCCTTCCGAATGTTTCTTCTCCCAGCGACGAAGATCAGAAACAGCAGAGCAACATGATCAAGACCGTTCCGAACTGGTATGCAAGGTCAGTTCCCGATTCACCTTTACGATAGTCCGGTAGTCTGAGTACGCAATCGGGATCTCAGCGTCATCGTTCCTCTGCCCAGCCACCCGACCGGTTTGATAGATTCCTTTGTGACCGTCCTGATCACTTCCTAGTGTGCCCATTAGGTGACAGTGATTGTCCTCTAGCATCAATCCCTTCATTATTTAGCGTTGTGTAGACTGGGCTCATTGATGTTCGATCTACCGTCACGCAAACAGAACAGAACAATTTCTGCGTCGTATCCCCGATGGTAAGTAGTGGAACAATCGGCTATTTTCGTGGGACCGTGGGATTAATGAGTGTGCCAATCGGTTATGACAATCGTAAGCACCAATAAAACGAAAAACTATTCAGAATAAAACTAAATGTCACGAACACTACTCAAACCGAGAATCAATCAAATTTGTGAGCACTACGAGATAGTTCTTCCATAGATCATTAGGGTAGACAAGTCACGCACTACGGGCGTGAATGTAATGCAGTACGTGTGGATTGATTTTTTGAAATGGAGAACTACTCTCCCTTCTGATCCAAATGATTTTCACTAAATTTCAAAATTTGCGTTTCGTAGAATTCATTCATTCAAAAGTACAATACATGTTTTATAATCTGCCACAAGTAAAAGATTAGTGTGGAGAACAAAGAGGAAAATGCTGACATACAACATTTGTAGTTTTTTAATCAGCTACTTTGAGAGCTTGTGGTCATCGTATCGCGTATTAAAAATGAATCCAGTGATATAACTTGAGATGGATTCTTGTCAGACGAAAATGTCTACTGTTCATCAAATATACCTTATCGCCATTTTCCATCCTTCCTTAGCATCTTTACGTTCTGTCCCATATTCAGTTATTGATTTGTCTGACGTATCCAGATAACCAGATGTGGATGTTATTCCGCCATAGGAATTTACTTCTGACACCTACTATCCCATCTGTCTGTCTCACACTCGCACACTGGAAACATGCATCACTTATGACCAAGAAAATCACTCCTCCTCTGACCCCAAACGTCCTCACAATCCAGGTAGTATAGTGCTACAAAACGACTGGCAATACTGCTACAGATCCACCGAAAGTATACAATAATGTGTATCTTAACTTGGTTCTTCACCATCGATCACCATGACGTGTTTCGCTTTAGGTTCCTCTATGTGTCTGAAAAGCATTAGACTAAGTTGGTCATAATGGACTGTTATCTTGAAATCGTCAACTTCCCATTCCTTCCGAACTTCATCATATGCTCATGATTTTTTTCGGCAAATGAGAGATCGTTGAGAGGGTACTCTCGCGTTCCGTTTAGTTTAAAGCATTCCCAAATCACTTGTTTTTTATCAATCACCCATAACCTCAGATTCCTTGTTCCAACTACGCTGTCTTTCCATCTACAGCTGATATTGCTTCTAGTTTACTCCAGCATTATCGGTGAAGGTCATTCAACTGCACACCATCACTGCTTGAGGTGCCGAAGACTCTCCTATTATCATATTCACTCTCACAGTCCCTTCAACAATGAATAATGCAAGACTGTTCTGCAAAACAATCACCCCGATTAAATGTTTTGGCCCCCAGTTATTCAGTCCATAGTTTAGACATGTGGTAAACAATTGGGGTCTTCGAGCGTATTCCTTCCAGGTGGGTACTGCACATGTGCTTCCCTCCTCAAGCACGATAGTTTTGTCAGCATTGCGTGGGATCATTATTTTTCATTTACCATAGAATTCAATCGATGTCAACGTTGTTCGGAAAATGTGTAACTGACTCGGTTTACGCTTCACGATTCGGANCGATTCGGATGAGTCAATCTGAGAATGAATTTTGGTGGCCCACTGTGCAAACTGTGCAAATTAGTTAGAGTATGAATACACTGTAGTCCTGTGTGATGAGGGCTTTTTATTTATATATATTTTTATTTGGATCGATTAACGATCATTTGTAACCTACTGATAACGAAATCTCAGGCCCAGCAAGCCACCAAACAGCTAGCTGACTCGACCAGATGACTAAACATTATAACTGGTACTATTTACCGAATCATGGAGATGAACAGCCATTACGATTAGCTAAGGCGATAAGGCTGTGCTTTGTATGTCTGTGTAAACCCGGTCGATTATCAGAACTGTTTTCAAATTCACCAAAATGAGTGTAGGCACAATGTAGCGAAACACGTTGTTCAATATGCGTCGGTTGTTGGGTTGTTTAATCGGATCTCGATTTGAGTACTGAACACAACTGCATAACAACAAATCTGGTCACGGAGACTATATAATAGTCAGCATGTGTCCCGTTTCGCTCGAACAACAAAGATCGCCACCTTATCTCAATCGGTTTAGTGTAGTTGTTTGACACTACCGTGTGTATCCAGCTTCCTGCGACAGACTGTGCCGCGAAATAATTTCAGTCCTACAAAAAATACCTTGAAATGGTTGTTATTCACTGAAATTCACCCTAAATAAAAACAATACAAACGAAAAGCTGTTTTGATGAGAAAGTGGAAGGGGGCTCAAAAGGTCACGTGTTTTATTCCGACCCTACCCAATTATTCTCTGGGAACGCAGTGCATTTGAACACTCACTAAATTGGTGACTGAATTTCCCGCATAATAAGGCATATGAAAACTAAGAATAACCCAACGGCCAGCTTACATGATACTCGATTTATATATGAATATTGCACCCCACCGGAATCAACAGGGATACGGAATATGGAACAGGCTTACATATCGTTCCTCCTTTATAGCGTTTCAGAGTGAAGAAAATAACACAAAGTAGAACAATATAGTTCCCAATCTGTCCGTTCATAAGACTATTTTCACAGCCATTTTTCCGGTCCGGTATTATTATGACTTATTCTAACGTTGCACTAATAATCTTCATCGAGTTTTATTAGCTTACATGCTCCGGGGCAAATTTTTCTGCTGACAAATGTATGCTGTTTTCTCAGTGGTATTGTCTGTGCAAGAAATTCTCACGTTAATAATCACGTCACGTTTTTACGCCAGACTGTATACGGACAAACAAAAAGGTATCCAGCTTACGAGTACAATATTTTGGTACACCTTTTTTATTACAGAATGCCATGGGTCATAGAGGGGGCTGAGTGATTTCACAAAATATTTTTGTGCGCATAGGGAGGGATTGTTTAGACGGCTCCTAACGCAGTATGTAGGATGCAATTTCTGATCGGCTTAGATCGGCGACTCCGAATGCTCTAGAGAGGCCGAAACGATTCGTTCACAGTCACTGTGTGATCTGATTCGACGTGGTGTGAAACGATGGCAGAGTGAAGTTGGTATTGGTATGAGAGGAATCAGATATTCTGAGCAAGTCAGACACCTTGAGATTTCTGTCCACATTACATGATATATCATCAACTTATTGTCTGTACCGCTTGCATCGCTTAATTGTGGAATTCAAATCCGAAAGTTGTGATCTCAGTGCTACATCATCCTTTTGGTGCTAAATTTCGTGATTGAAACTAATCTGGACGTTTTGTGTGCAGAATTACAATAACGGTATCTATTCATTCGGGAGTATTGCAATTTCGACTTTATCTTCCTGGATTTGGTCGCAGATATTCAGTGGTTCGGGTGCAGGAACTAAATAAAAAAGAGTTGACATCCATTGATATCATTCGTTGGCAATCAACATTAGCGTTTCCGATTGCATCTATCAAGGAGAAAGAATCCGGTAAAGTGTGCGTTGTAACAGTGGTTTTCGCTGGATTCAAAATTGTCATAATCCATTTGGTTACTGATTGCATGGTATGCATAAATTACCCATGTCTAATATCAGCCCGAGGGGGTAATCCGGAACAAGCGTATATTCCGGAAGGTAGTAAGATCAACCCCATCCGGTTTGTGAGACAGACCGATAAGAAAATCAATCTCCATTCGACTATTCATTGGTTTTCTTTCCTTTTCTCTCTGCAAAATGATGTTATATGAAATGTGATGTGTTGTCTTTCAGTATTCCATCCACTTCGGTTAATACACGACAGTTTATGTAACTGAGATAAAATACGGGAGGGCGGAAAAAGTGCATACAAAATATAGGTAATTAACAAACTCGAAAAAAATTCGATGATATCCTTTATTTCCTAGATGGTGTCTAGTCTGGATTTTGGATAGGCGAGTGAAAATGAGTTGGGGACATGGGTAACTATAGGACTAAAAAAATTATTTTTAGGCACCCAAGTCCAGTCCAGTCCTGTCTTCACAGGACGAATAATGGCCCTTGCCAATCGAGCGTCCAGAGAGTGAACTGTGTGTGTGTTTGTGTGGACTGTGAATGCGAATGCGAATTCCCTCCGCTTTCGATGTGGCCAGGATGTGATGTTTACTTCGCTCAGATTGTTATTCATAAACCTGGTAGAGGAAGCGAAATGCCTAGGTCAAGTCAACTAAAGGACCTGACTAGACAAGTTGTGAACTAATTGCGGCAGTGTGCCACCAAACCGGACCATAGACATCATCCCGGAAACGTTAGGTATTATCTTTCTTTTCAAGTTTATTAGTTAACTATTATTATACGTACTATCTCAACCTATATCCTGGTTATATTAGTTGTGACGTATTAGCCGAGGAAGGCGAATCACTGGAAACAAGTACACCACATCGTGTTCTACTCAAAATGTCCGTCAGTGGTCAATGGAACAATCCGCGCTTATATCCTGCACTGATGTCTAGCTAACATGATTTGACAGTGCGATACGATTCATTGTTTTGTCATTGTGTTTTTTATTCAAATCTAGACAACATTGTTTCAAAATTTGGGCTACAATATGCGTGTTATGGAACGCATGATATGCCAGAATTGTCTAGACGATATCCTTATCGATTTTCACAGCTGGAACGATCCAGCTGACGAGGTACGCGAACAAGGCAGTCTCTACCCGCTCTGGCGATTCAAACATCCGGGGTCACGTCAAAAACGATTACCGGTTACTTCAATTCGTTGGTCAACGCGATACGCGGATTTGTTCTATGTGGGATATGGTGAGGGTGAGTGTCACATCGATACCGATTTCTCTTCACCAACGTCGATACAGTGCCATAAGGGAGAAACACGTATATTGCCTGGTTTTGTTTGAGCAGGATAATCATGACCGAGCAGGCTATTGGGAGTGTTGCTCACATTTGATATTTTTCGGTTAAGGAAAAACGGATGGGAGAAAATGTAACGGTGGAGCGGGGGTGAGTTTAGGTAAGCTAGTCCGCAAACCCGTTTATACATCATTCCTCCGTTCAGTGGTACCTTTTCGACCAGTTAATCCTAGGTCACCTTTCCGAGTGCAGATTGGAAGCTAATAGGGTTTTTGCAGGTAAGTTAGTGGCACGCTTTATAGCAATAAAAAGCAAACAGTTTGATTAAATTTATTAGAGAAAAATTGTCCTTGAGACCAGTTTATTTCAATTTTTGGTTATGGTAGTGGCTAATGACGCCAAACGGACTCCTATAAACTCCATTGGAACTCCTATGAAACACGCGATTTATTTGAAGAATCTAATTCCAGTTGAGTGTAGTTGAACCAAACATTTTAATTCGTGCACTTGGTGAAAACAAATTACAGCCAATATTGTAATTTCATTCTCTGCTTCTTAAAACCCGTTATTTCTCCCTCTCCCCCCTGTCCGCTCCCACCCGAGAAACGCCCATACACACAGCTTCATATCAGAACAAATTTGATGTTGGATCGATTTTGGTGTACAGCTTAAAATGTCCTCTCTATCCGGAATGGATGGTGACAACATCAAGTGCAGTGCTATCCCTGGATATTCATCCAC